GTATGGCGTATAGACGCTAACACACACACACACACACACACACACACACACACACACACACACACACACTCGAGCAAACGTAGCAGGACCAGTATGAAAGATAATTAACCAAACCACTTTATATCTCTCTAGGTTTTTTATTTTCTTTTGCTTAATTTAGTCTCTACAAGAGGTAAGGTAGAACCTCTTGAATTGTCTCGCAGATAGACTGGCTGCATGTGGTAACACCTGAGAGGGAAGGTGGACTTACCTAAAATTGCATCACACCACAACAACATATTAGAACATTTAGGACCAGCTTGGAAATGTGTAAAATTGAGTTCACCCGTTCTGAAGATTATGCTTTTCGTGTGGATACTTTAGGTAGTCACTATGAGTAAAGCTATGATCATGTGGACATAGTCTCCTATGAGTGTGGTCTCGTGCATGCAACCGGTGAGACTTAAGTCGCTTTAAAAACGGTCACGAGAGCGATCAGAGCAACTGCAGGAGGGAAGTGGGACAGACTTTATCAAATTAGGGGGATAAAATGGGCTCTGCGACTAGTTTTAAGCCTCTACATCGCTCATCTGCATCAGAAACATGTTCGAAGTGTTAATGTGTGTGTGTGAGAAAGAGAGAGAGAGAGAGAGAAGAAGAAGCTTCATTTATTAAGATCTGGCCTTCTCCAAAGTTCAGTCCAATCAGCAAACTTTCTCCAGACCATTCATATGTTGGCAAGACGAGGACGTCAGATGCCGATTAGATTAGATGCTGATAAAGAGCCTTGTAGATGCAAAAGGTATTGTTGAACTTACTTCCATTTCGAGTGAACGTCATATGACGAACATCATCCGAACAAGGTATCACCATGACAACCAAATTCAAGCTAATGAGTCATTAAAACTCACAGACAAACCCTTAACAAACTGGATATATACTCTATATCTGGCCTCTTTGATGGGGTATAAAGTGATTTGGTTATTTACTATCAGTCCTCCTTCTACTATTCGATAAAGGTACTAATTTAAAACAAACGAGTGTGAGCTGGCACTAACGTGCAAAGTTTTCCATGACTCCGTATCACTTTGGCTTGTATGTCATGCCGTTGAAAAGAAATTATACAATAAGTTGATGTGTCTGCTACTGGACAGTTTCGCTGTGGCATCCTTTCCCTACCATAAGTAATTTCTTGTTCATTTCATCGAATGATTTGAGAAACTTCTGCTATTACATCCTTTATTGCTAATCATTTTATAGAGTAGCCTAAGCCCTAAAATAGTTTTTTCTTGTTCTCTGATGCTAACATTCACAAAAAATGTTTTAGAGAGAGATAAAAAAATGTCGGTATAATAATATTGTGAAAGTGGGTGGTTTGACTTCTGGTTAACTTGAGACCTGCAAGGATGCGTTCCAGCTCATTCTGATGATGCTCGTCTCATTTCGAGCGAAATTTCAGGCCCAGTTCACCCAAAGCTGCGTCAGCATGAACGTGACTTCAGCTTTAGCCAAAGGTCTGCAGAAAAACTGAAATCAGCAGTCGTCTTCCGGTCAAATCGAGACACGAATCTGTTCATTATGCACTTCATACGATTGGAAAGGATCCACAACAAAGACAATAGTTTAATCGTAAACTCAAAGTAAACTATGTGCTTGCT